CGTCTCACGTGCCTACCTTATATGGCACAGGTGCAAGATTCATTTCAGTTGCTCCTACCTGGCACCCACTGTGATCTGTGCAGATAGGAACTGCTACACAGGAGGAGACGAGCTACTGGGGGAAGACACAGGGAAAGTGAGGCGAGGTTACTGGACTGTGCTCCTTCCAGCTCAGAGTCCTTTCCTTTCTCTTTACCTGCCCTCAGCCCCCATTCAGAAAGCTCGGCAAAAATCGCTTCCCCGGCTGGTCTGGTGTTTCCTTCCCAACAATCTACTTTCCACTACCAAAAAAAAAAAAAATGTTCTAAATAGAGCGGAACTGAGCACGGGGCTACAGCCCGGATGAAGTCTTCCCTCCCTGGAGAGCCTGGCATCCCACATGGAGGCTGGTCCACCCCCAGCGCCTCTTACTCAAAGCATTCTTGACCCGGGAGCACCCAGGCCTGACGGCAGGCACAAAGCTGCCCCAAAGGGATTTTGCTTCTGCAGCATTTTGCCCGGGCAAGCTCCCTCCTCCCCCACAAGGCATCCCAGATGCCTCCTCTGGGCCCCTCTGCTTGAATCTGTCTTGGAGGCAACTAGGGGATCCTCATCCCAGCAGGGATTCCAAGCCCTGCTCAGTCCCACCAAACTGCTAACTCACCCAGTGACGGTGGGTGGCTCAGTTAACCGACCTGAACTTCAGTGTGCCCAGGATCTGGCTTTGAGAGCAAGCACCACAATCTCTCTCTTGCCATGGTAAGCTGTTGAGTAGTAACTTTTATGATCTCAGAGCCTTCTGTTGCTCTCAGTGAGGCCTTGGTATCACACTGGGGGTAGATCTTTAGAGAGCCCCCTTATTTCTGGCAGAGTCTACACAAAGCTCAGACTCACCAGGCACTCAGCCTGTGATGCCTTATGGGATCCAGGCACATCTTACGCACAGCTCTGTGCGTTATGTCATCAAATGCACATCAAGCATCATTCCAAGGGCAGTCAGGGTCTGTTGCTGAGGTCCACACACCCTCCAGAGTAAGAATCATCCGCCCTCAGAAAACTGGGCTCCCAGAGGGGAGTGCTAGCTTCTCATGTGTCACCATGTCACCACCTCACAGCCCAAGGCCAAACCGAGATCAGGTGACGTGGTGACAGCTCTGGAACATCTCTAGGAGGAAGGTCCAGCAGTGATAGTCTGGAAAGGCAGAGGAGCTCGTCCAAGGATGTCACAAGGGGTAGCTGACCCCAACCCCCAGCCAGCCACCTTCTGCTGCCTCCACTGAGTAAAACCTTCAGGAATCTGAAGCCAAACTGATTGCATGACTCCCGTGACTCTGGAGTGAGTCAGGGCCACCCTGCTCTTCTCTGCCTATCTGAATTCAGCACCTTAACTATGTCAGTTCATCCAAACAGCCAAAGACCAGGAGTCTAGAAAGCGAAACTGACATTCAATGGAAACTGAGAATTCCTTACTAATGCTTATCCCCACAGTGTGGGTGTTCCTCCCTCCTCCCCATCGCAGCACAGGAAGGGAGGAGGAACCAGGGAAGGGTGAGGGCATCCGAGGGACAGTTTAAAATACGCAAATAGGGGCCCTGGACCACAATGTACTTGTAAACAAGGACCACACCTGTCCCAAGGTGGCTTTTGCCTCTGATCCTCCAGTCACGTCTTTCTGAGCTAGAAAACAGGCAGCTTCCCTCCATTGTCTTTCTTTCAAGTCTGGTTCAGAGCAAGAAAAAAATTAAAATGCTGAAACAAGGTCTTTGAGTCCCCTCTGGATGAACTGTTTTTCAATAAGCTACCTGCTGGGGTCAGGAAACGTGAGATCGGTGGGTTTCGGCTCACACAGAATCTCACGCGGCGGAGTCACCCTGAAGAGCCCTGGCGGAGACGGTCACCCACACACGACCCTTTGTATCTGCTCCAGCTTTGATTGGAAACCGTTTCTCTCTTAGGCTTCATCTCCTTCCCGCCTTGCTTCTCACTCAGCCAGGGCCAAAGGGGCAGGCTCGGTGACGCCCACTTATACAGTCAGAGGATGCAGGGTGGTGGATGGAGGCGAGGGAAGAGCTGCTCCCTCAGCACCAATAGAAAAAGTATTTTCTTTATAATTAGGTGGGTGATGCTTAAAAGGGAGAGGAATGATCAAAATCAAAATAAATAACTAACGGAAAGAAGCGGCCCCTCCCTGGGAATGGTAACTGCTCAGGATGAAAGTTTATCCAAACACATGAGAAAAATGGTTGGTGTTGGAGGAGAGCTCCTTTACTGGGAAGGAAATTTGTTTATGACATTTTATTTGCTCCTTATTTTTTAATGCTCTTCTGGCCCCATGTCTCATAAACAGACCAGCTTTTCCATCCTCTCGTGGTGCCAGGAGAGCCAAAGACAGAACAGGCTGAACTGGTGCCCGAACCCAGGACCACAGAGGTCTGTTAGGAGGACCCAAGCCCAGGCTGAGGGGTCTGTAAGGGGGACGTGTTGCTTTGCAGTGTGCAGAGAAGGAGGTGATGGTGAAATGTGGGTGTGGAACAGGGAGAAGTATGTCTGGCCTGTCGGCCCCCGAGGGCTTGGAAGTCAGCTCTCTCTGCGCCCAGACACCGGAAAGGGCTTCAGGATCCCGACATATATGTCCGAGAGTACTGATTTATTCTCAGGGTCTCCTTAGGTGCTAGATGAAACTGACAGATTCTGGAGAGAAAAAGCTTGATGATGTCAGGTCAGGTGAGACCATGGTGGGGCTGAGAATGCCCAGGAGGGAGAGTCAGAGTGCTGAGACCTTTGTCCCCAGCTCAGCTCTAGCCTCAACATTGCGGAGGGTGGGGGTGCACCACAGCTAGAGTCCAGAGACTGCTGGGCATGGTGACACAGAGCGGCCTAGCAGAGCGGCCCATCTGGATTTCTCCTGCCATCCAGGCACGGAGAACATCAGAGCCCTCTGAGGCTGCATGTCTCAGTCCACTCTGAGCACCTTTAATCCCAAAGTCCCAAATCCAGAGCTTTCTGAGGGCTGACATGACACTACAAGTGGCAAACTCCACACCTGACCTCGTCCCATGTCACAGTCAAAACACAGGTGCATTAAAAATATTGTATAAATTCCCTTGGGGATATGCACATACGGTATACAGGAAACATGAGTGAATTTCACGTTTAGACTGGGGTCACATCTCACAGATATCTCATTTTTATATGGGAATATTCCAAAATCTGAAGGAAAGAAAACAAACCCTCAAGTCTTAAAGACTTCTGGTCTCAAGGTTTTGGACAAGAGACACTCAACCTGGATACAGCTAAGAGGTCACCTTGACCAACTGCTGTGTTCCTGGCACTGTTTTAAGGGCCACCCTCACAATAAGATGCAAACCTTGCAGTGACCACAGGAAGCAGGTTAAAGAAAAGGAAACTGAGGCATGGAGGAGCTGAGTTACTCACTTGAGGTTGCACTGCCAGAGGCCATGGGAGTGGATCAGGCCGAGGAGTCCAGCGCAGGAGCTTCGCTTTGCCCCCACCACTCTATCCTTCCTACTTTTAAGAGTCACTACACTTATGCAGGAGACCTGATGTTTCTGACGTTGCCAGTAGAACACTATAAACCTACTCAGCATGTGACCTGTGACAGCAGAGCGTTCTGGAGCCAGCACTCATGAGCTTCCATTGCCACTGTGGTGAACCTAATTACCCGCCTCCCCGATCCTATCCGCACAAAGAGGGTTTGGTAAATGTGGCAGAACTGCTGTGGTCACCAAGGTTCATGTACCCACCCCTTTCCACAGAGCTGGACAACTCTCAGCGCTCCTGCATCCAGCTGGGGCCCACTTGAGCAGAAGTGGTAGGTGATCCCTCCAGCCATGGCACCCTCTCCCTGCTCACCTCACAGGAGGAGGAGGTGGTGGTACCCTGCAACAGGGGGCCAGGTCTCGATTTCTGCACGAAAAAGAAACCTTTGTCTCCACCACTGCTAACTTATATTCAACTGAAGTGTAGAAGTGAAACACGCAGGGGAAAAAAGAGGTTTGGGGTATTTGTTACAGTTGCTTACTGTGACAAACATGGGGTTGGTCATAACCTAGAGGAAAACTGAGACTGCATTTAGGGACAGAAGCCTTACCGGGCGTGCTCCATGGAGTCATCCCATCTGCCTCATCCTAGTTTCCTCATCTAGAACAGATCAGGAAACAACACCTCCTTACAAAGCCATCAAAAGGTTCAAATGAGAAGTTTCACAAAGAGCTCTAAAAGTGTAAATCCTCGTGAAATCACTGGACTTCATGACCACTTGAACCGCCCAACTTTTCATGGTTAAATGTTCTATGATTGCTTTCCTGTCTGAAACCATCCCCACAGCGATGGTCCACAAAGGACATCCTGTGTCCTGACTCTTGCTTTCTGCTCAGATGAGGTAAGGAAAGGGGACTTTCAGTGTTTCTTTTCCCAACATGTGGCAAAGCTTGCTCTTTACAGACAGGAATTAGATAGCAGGGAGGCAGACTCCTCTTCCTGGGTGTGTGCTCCCCTGAGCAGCACCCCCTCTCCCTGTGCCTTCACCCCTCAGGTGATGCACCCCTGAATCCAGGCACCATCCTGTAACAGTAATCTGCCCAGTGACACCCAACTTCTCTGCCCATGACCTGCTGGGAAAGTTCACATTTGGGTGAAACACAGGTGAAAGAATCCATCCAGATCCTCCGGTAATTCTAACCACACATTCGTGAGGCAGACGTGACTGATGGTTTTACATGTGCGGGTCTTGTCTAACCAGACTGTACATGACATCCCGAGAGCAGGGACTGCCTCAGATGTGGTTTGCTGTTGTTTTATTCTTTGCTTTTCTGTATTTCTTCCGATTAGACAAGGTGAAGCTCCAGAGGTTTTGATCTGAACTTTTGCATGTACAATATATGTCTCTCCCATCTCTCCTACCTTAAACAGGAGACTACCTTGCAGTTAACTGGCAAAACCAGACACATAATATTTTCTGTGGAGAAACCAACCAAGGAAGCAACAAACAGATTTCCTCTGGCGTTCAGACATCACTTTATTGATCAATAGCAGACAAACAAAAATAGGCAAATGCTGGGATACATAAGTAGCAGATTACACATAGGAAAAGCCAAGTCAATAGCTCTCTATTTACCATGTAGAAGCCACCGTACCACGAGTTTACCAGCTGTGAACTTGAGATGCTCAATGGCCCTGGCTCTGAATCCTAACAATCACGTGCGAGACTTGGTCAAGGCAACTGATTCCCCTGTCTCTGTGTCCCAATGTCCTCTGATGATTTTATGGGTGACTATGTGAAATCCCTATCAGAGGAATTGCCATGTGATCTGTGTATCATTAGAAATTTCAGGAATACATTTCAATGAATAAGGAACAACCCAACCCAACGCATCAGTTCCCATTCTTATGGGGTGTGGGTGGGGAGGAAGGGAGAAGAGGGTACCCAAAAGAAGTCCAGTTTGAGCGTAGTAAATGAGATACTAAAGTACTATGGTCAAGGAAGGAGGGAAGCAGCATTTTTTGGTATGTATATGACACCCATGCTTTAAAAGAATATGTGAGAGACAGGTCACAACTGGTTGAGAAGGAAGGAGAAATCCAGGAAGCCTTCCTGGAGAAGGGAGAATCTGTGACAAGTCTGGAAGTGTCCACAGGCTCTCCATAGCATAGGTGCCCACAAACAGGCTCCTCCGTGAAGTACGGCTGAGGGCAAGGTTCCCTCAAGGCCACGTGGGGAAGGCTTGGTCCCCAGCTTGGCACACTGGAAAGAGGTGGAGACTTTCAGAGGTGGCACCAGTGGAGGGCTTCAGGTTATTGAGGGGAGGCCCTTAACAAGGTCTCAGGACCTCATCCCTTCCCATTTGCGTTTGCTTCTGGGCCATGAGGTGAGTGATTCCACCCGGCCCTGCACTCCCACCAGGATGGGCTGCCCCACACCAGAACCCTAAAGCACTAGGTCTGCCAAGTTATGGACTGAACTTCCACAACTGTGAGCCTCAATCACTCTTTCCTCTTACAGACTGGTTATCTCAGGTATCTGTTAGGGTGAGGAAAAGCTGATGCATTGCATTTCATGAAGACTCATCCTGGAGTGAGGAAGGAACTCGCGGAATTAAGCAGATCCGGAACACCCTCAGCTCTGGGCTGCATGAGTAACAGGTGGAGAACTGGGATGTCCTGGGAAGACCAGTGAGATGCACCTTCCACGGCCGGTCACCTGGAAGGGCACTCAGGAGCTGGCATGGAGCAGTGTGCCCCGCTGTGCTGTGCCCACCTGAGACCTGAGCATCCGGAACTGCGGTGCTGTAGGGCAGAGCGGTAAGAAGGGCCCAATCTTGTTTCAGTCTTTCAGTGGGGCACACTTGGAACCTGGACACACCGTCCCACCCCTATAGACAAGTCACTCTAGGGTGAGTCAAAGGCCTGGCCAGTTCCTCTCCTCAAGCGACTCATCTCTGTCACCTGCCACAGGTAGGGAACCACGGCCACCTGGAATAGAGGAGTCACAGCTTAGAAACACCCGAGACCTGCTGTTTTCTGATGCTTGTAACGATGCTTATTCTAAGTGTAATGAGGGCTGTGTCCTCTGCCTCACGTTCAGTCTCTGAGACCTGATGTTCAGTCCTGAACAGATCAAAGAGGCTGGTGCGAGGAGGCCAGGGCCAAGTGGTGTGCTCACCAGCACGGGCAGGGCCAGACCAGCCGGAGCCCCACAGACAAGCACTCTCTCGGGCAGAACAAGGCTTCCAGCTCCTCCAAAATCCAGACCTGAGTTACCAGGAAATGCGGGAGGCAAGGGGAAGGGGTGGGCGAAGGAGGAAGGAGATGGAAAACAATTAAAAGAAAAAAGACCTTTGACAGAATTTGATAACCCCGAGTACCCGGACCCAGTGATCGGCACCTGACGGCATACAAAAGCCAAAAGGCAGGTCCCGGGATGGGTCAGCTTCAGACTTAATATTTGCCTTTCACTAAGCAAACTAATAAATCCCCCATGGTTTGAGCCATGCAGAGCTCCCAGTTTTTATTTATTGGTCAAAACGGCAGGGAATTTTTTTTCTTCTTTCCTCCCAGTCCCCCAGGGGGTAAACAGTCCCCCTCCTTCTCCCTCTTGTCATCAGCTCTGGGTCTGTTTGCCTTCTTCCTCAACAAATTCATGTTCAGTGCAACCGACGGCATGTGCAAACAGCTTTGAAGTATCCTTCGGTGACGGACTGCCCCAGACAGGCCTGCTTTTGACTTGTGCAGTCAAAGCCGAAAGGACACAAGCTACTACTGCGTCAGGCAAGCTGGGAAGGTGACAAAGGAAGAGCCTTAGGGGACCATCATACCAACTTCTTTTCTCCCATCTCCCATTTTACAGATGAGAAAAACTGAGACCCAGAGAAAGGGCTTCGATGATTTACCCATGACCTTGGAGCTCCGTGAAGCCAAAGAAGACTAGTTACTATCCAGGGGCTCTCTTCAGGCCTCCCCCGACCTGGCTGCCCTCAACCTGGAATGGAAGGGTCTTACCGAAGACCAAGGGCCATTTCTAAAGTCACCCCATGTCCTCTAAACCATGGCCTCTGGAGCCTGGGGTCTCGCTTTCCCATGGGAACCTCCGGTCTCTCTGGCAACAAGACCCACATTTTCCCACCCAGATTTCCAGGGCCATCTGACAAGGACTACAGTACTGCTGTGGGTCGCATTTCAATGCCACAGAAAATGCTTCTAGGAGAGCCTGAGCTCTCAGGGTGAGGGTGAGCAGTGACTGTGAAATTAAGCTGTGCTCATAACGAACTGAGGCAAGATGAACGTGTTCGGTCCAGGATGGGGTAACTACTACGCTGCACCCTGCGGAGTGTCTACCATGCTTTTCTGCTTTTACTTTGGCAGTACTGAGGCATGAACCCAAAACCTTAGTGCTGAGGTGCACTCCCAGCCCTTTTTGTGTTTCTATTCTGGACACATAGTCTCACTAAGTCCCTAAGCTGCCCAGGCTCAGACTTATGATCCTCCTGCCTCAGTCTCCCAGAGTGCTTGGATTACAGCTGTGCGCTGCCACATCCAGCTTAACATGCCTTTCTAATACAGAACAAATAGCAAATCTTGAAGACAGGAACTCCAAGAAAGCTGATGGCGTATGTGTCAAATGTAACAGTAGCATGGAAGACATAGCTAGGAGAGGGTCCCCGGATCTTGTACCTGACCCCATCATTTTACAAGAAGGAGGTCAGAGAGGGGACTTTCTGAGACAAAAACTTGGGTCTTTGGCTTCCCTCGGCCTGTACTTTTTTACCAGCTCCAGACCCCCTCCTAGATCTAGAAATAAGAGACATATAGAGGTGGGGCACAGGGCAGGAGGCAGTTGGTTCAAATCTCACGACACTGATACTTGTCCCACTTTGCGGACATGCACTACTCTGTAAATTTCTCCTGCTTCCCCACCAGGTTCAGTGCCATCCAGCCTTCAACCTCATCTCCAACTCTGCCTAACAGCTGCCTCCCTGGGCCAGAGGATCCCACACCAGATGTTTGAAAGGGATTCCTGCCCTAGGCAGAGTCCATCCTGAGCAGCAGGATGCTGAGGACCACTTCGGCCTCTGGGATTCTGGGATTCTAAGATGAGAAGAAGGGACCAGGGGGAGATTGTTGCCTTTGGCCTGATAGCACGATTCTGCTGGAAGCAATGAATGAATGCAGGACACAGATGACGAGAACAGGTGAAATGCATTCATCTTTTCAAAGAGAAAAACTGCACCCAATGAGTGGGGCTGGCATTCCTCCTGGGGCAGCGAAGGGAGGGAGAGCGGGTTCAGAACCAAACACAGGGTGCATGGGGAATCACAAGTAATGGGAACAGTCTGGATGCTTCACACTCCTCTCTACCCTAGCATGTAATTACCTCACTGTGGCCACAGCACGCCAGATGAGTGGGATTAGCTGAAGGCCCGTGTTCCAGCCCCGAAGACGTGCATGCCTGTCTTTCAGCAGAAAAATGGAGGCTGAATCCCCCGACAAGCAGTGACAACTTCAGGATGCTGTGTGATCCTGAAAACCCGGCTTTTCTAACCTGCAAAAGAACCTGTAATTTGCCTGCCGATTGTTCTTACTTGTCATGAACACCAAAAAATCGGGCTGGCACAACTCTGTTTCCCGCCCCCCGCCCCTACTCCTGCCTCCAAGTTCCGCTCCCTGATCCCAGATAAAGTCAGTGATCTGGAAAGGTAAGAATGAGCTGGGAGGTCCCACTCCACATGCTCGGAATCGCACTCAAAGGTTATCTAGGAGACTTCAGAAGGAAAGTACACACTTAGCCCCAGTTTACACGCCCTTGATATTTTAAATAATTCTAGAGTTCAAAGGAATTTCAGGAAGTCCTCTAGCCAACTTCTTCGCTTTCCAGACAACACCATTGCCAAGATTTCAGCTCTTTGTCTCTGTCTAGCAAAGATGCAGAATCTTGTTCTTGATTCCTTCTATGCAGTACATACATGCTTGAGAATGTGTGTGCACACACGCACACACGAACACCCACATACGTCATGGTCCATTTATTTCCCACTGTTCCCAGTGGCTGTTGGTCATTGTTTCTTTAATAAACTGTTGTGTTTTTAATGCTAAAGGGTAGTGTCACTGTTTTAAGTAGGATTGTATCAGACAGCAATTCCAATACCCCGAATTCCCGCCCTATCTACTATCTATCCACAGTGTTCTCAGAAGGACAAGGTCTCAGCCATTTCATCATACCCGGGTTTTTGTTCAATAACATGCAACCCTACCATCCCAGAAACAGCTGGTTTGGTCAGGATTGGTGCCTGGTCCAGAGGCACCCACCTATAGGCTTTGCAGTGGCCAGTGAAACAATCAGACCCACAGCTCCCAGTGCCAACTGGCCAAACCAACCAAGTGCATTCATTGGTCACAGAGGTGAAACATGAGCAGAAGCAGAGTCCTTGAGTGACCTGGTAGGTTGACCAATTATTCCAGTTTGCCCAGGCCTGTCCCAGGTTCAGCCCTGAAAGTCATTTGTCCCAAGACACCCCAGCTCTGGGCATACTGGGACAGTCAATCCCTAAAGCCCAGCGCATCGTAACAGCAGAATTCCGGGTTAGGGGCAGTGAGTCCCACTGGGTGGTGACAGTGATGCCATTGTTCTGCTGTCCCTGTATCCCTGGAAACTGCCTATAGCTACTGGGTATGCCGGATGGCTATGGGCTTTGGGACAGCTGCTGGCACTGTTTCCCATCTGCCTTTCTTCCATTGTGACTTTGGAATAGACCAGCATTTGCAAAGGTTCCTTGAAACCTAAAGAAACCAAACACCAAGGCTGGCACTGGTATGTGTGCAAAGAAGGGAGAACAACACCTATAAACAATCTTTATGCTTCAGTAGCACCAAACATCTTCAGGAGGTCACTTTGTGGTGAACCTGAGATGCCAGGAATGTCCTTATTGCTCTCATAGAAGACACTGAAGTCACTAAATGGCCGCACAAACTCATCATCCACAAATGCAGGGACACTGGCTCTTCCAACAAAGCAGACTGTCCTCCTCTTTGCAAATAAGAAAGCACAAATGTTTCTGACCCTGTGTGTTGGACAACACTGGGCCATGGCAGATACTGAGGAAGGGTTTTCAACCACACATGCAGCAGTCACAGAGTAAAGGGAACAGAGAAGCCTGAAGTGGTAGTCAGGCATGTGGGTGACCTGGAGAAACTGGGGAACAAGGTCCTCAACAAAACAACCACACCTGGTAGCTGGCTTGTGTGTCACTAAGTCACCAAGCACCATGATCCGACAAGGCACCAGTGCCATCAAAGGGGGTGGGTCTTCACAGCTGACTGCGGATGTGTGTCAAAGACGACTGCTGGGATGAACCACAGGACTCACTGGCCCTGCAGACATGTTTCTGTGTGTGACCCACATCAAGCAAACTGAGCATGAAGAAGAGGACCAGAGCTCAGCACCCTGCTTTCCTGCCCACACCTCTCCCTGTGGGCCCGAGACCCAGAAGAGCATTCACACTGACTCCTGTGCCACTCCGGAACCTGCAGGCCCAGATCCCAAAACTCTCCCCAGGCCACTTGCAATGCACCAACGCTGGCCTCTGTAGAAGGAGCAGGAAAACTAAGATCCTGTCTGCCCCAAGTGTGGTTAACTATTCACTCAGCATCCGGCTGGACGATAGTGGAGCAAACACGAGGGATCGCTCTGTGCAAAGGCAGGCAGGTGTGGGAGGTGGGGCGGGCGGCGAGGGTGTGGGGAAACAGGGATGCAGGGGCTGGGCGGGGAAGATGCCAGCAGCAGGCAGCCGAAGAGGATGTCAGCCGAAGGAAAGAGGGCCCCAGTCTGCGATGGCAAGCCCTCTGAGTCACAGGCCCCCTTCGCCTCACGTCTTCTGCTAGCTCAGGTCCACACACAAGCTGGTCCTTCAGTCGAGGGTCTTTGCTTTCTACCCAAACATCTCCACAGGGCCAGAAGTTCCTATATTCTCCAAAGTAAGAATCCTTGATGGATCCAGAGCTCTTGTCTCTTGAGACGGGTGCTGGCCTTAGCCAGGCACTTCGAGGGGTGCTGCTGGGCATGCAGTGGTTCCTGGTGCTTCCCGGTGGCCGAGGGGCAGCTGCCTCACTCTCCTTCCTGCACCTGTGGACCAGATCACAGCACAAGGGTTAGATGTGGCTCCACAGGGAGCACCAGGTGTCACATTTTAGTTGATGATGTTCCACCTGATGCTATAAATGAGCAGTATATTCAAAATGCAGTATTTTAGTTAAATAGCAAAAAAGAAGAGAGACCTACTTATACCTCCCAAGGAATACTCTGTACACTGAATTATCCCTGGGAACCCCCGACACAAATTCCACCGCTACACACACACAGCTGACTTTAGGGGAAGTGGAAAATTCTGCTTTTCAGCCTGTCACTACTATACCTGTGAGATATGAGGCTGGGAGCTGGGAGGCATCAGGTCACCCACTTTACAGGCAGGGAAACTGAGGCACAGAGCGCGCCAATGTCACTGGAACTCACGTTCTGCACCCTGACATTCACTGTGGCTGGAACTCCTGCCTGCTGTCTGACTCCCTCAGCAGCTGACCTAGAGTGGACTTGTGCAGAGAAAGGAGGACAACAGCAGACAGCCTCCTCTTTCCCTAACACTGACAGCAAAGAAATTAAGATTGTCTTGGATGCACCATGCTCTCTTCATTCCCCAATCTCATCGCCTCTAATCCTGAGTAACAAATGTATCTGGCACTACCCACTGCCCTCGGGGGCCTGGGCACAGGGAAAGACCCTCCGAACCTGATGGAGCAGGCTGCTTCCTGGGCCTCTGACCAAAGCAATCACTGTCAACGCACCAGAATAATTTGCACAATTGGAAATCTGTGCGCTCACAAGTTAGATGCTGTGGATGCAGAAACAAACCAAACAGGCAAATTCCACCCTCACAGGCCTTGGTGAAGGCCACAGAGAGGAGGGGTCCGCTGGGGCATTCACAGGGCCAGGGCGGCAATTTCTGGAGGAAAATTCCACTGGGACCCTGGAGGCGTCAGGGACCAGGGCCAGGGCCAGGAACGTGAGGCTCAGCCCCAGGCAAAGGTGCTCTCCTTCCTGCAGCATCAGCAGGGATGGAGCAGCCAGAGAGAAGGGTGCAGACTGCCAGAGAGGACTGATGTGACAGAGGCCCCAGGATACAGAGCAAAGATGCTTAAAGCTGTTTCTCTGTAGAAAAACTCAGCAAGGAGACACAGACTACATTTCAGAGTCCCCTACAAATAAAAAACCCAAACCACAGCCAACATGCAGGCACAAAAGCGTGCTGAGGCCCTGGGTGGCCAAGGAGGAACCAGTCTTTGCCCCAGGTGCTGTCCAGGCCCTCTGGACACGCCCTTTCACTTGGACCTGAAAAGCCCCCAAACAAACCTAAAGTTCTCCAACCTTCCTATGGTTTCTCTTCCCCTCCCGGGCAGTGGCTTTCTGAGCTGTCTTAGAGAAAGAAGCCTTTCCCCTGGGAGAGGCAAGCAGCTAGCAAATTAACTGGCAGCAGTCAGGACTTCCTTCTTGTTGCCTAGCAACTCCATGCACTTGGCAGTGGGACATTAAACAGAGGGGAATGTTGTGAGGCATTTGTAAAACAAATAAAAAGCAAAACACACAATCCCTGAGACTCTCATCCCAGAGAGGCAGACCCAGCCAAGAGAAATGGGGGGGACAAGAGGATAAACATGAACTGGAAAGTGAGGTGTGGACGTGAGCAGATCGAACCGGCCACCTGCCTGTGAAACTTTCCTCTGTGTTGCGTTTGTACGCAGCTAAAAGCCACAGGAGGCACAGAACCAGAAGGCACTTATGGATCGGCACAGTGATGGGTTATAAAGCTTGCTACGCAACTCAGCTGCGTTTTATGCCTCTGTCCTACGTCACACCTCAAGTGCAGTCACTCTGGCCAAGGCGACAGCCACCTCCAGAGCAGGATCCCCACCCCAGCTTCCAACCACTTTACAATCGAGCATTTTCATACCTGTTGCTGCAGCCCACGGGGACCGATTTACTGAGGCCTCCAACACACCGCCTTACCTTTCAGCCCAGCTCTGGGCTCTTTTAAAACTCCTGCCCAGGAGGAGAGTACGCAGACAGTCCATGTTGCAGCAGTCTGTTTCCCGTGGAAGAGAAATGGGATGTGGAGGAGAAGAGAAGCAGCTAGAGGCTCTTGTGGCTAATGGTCCCCAAAGACATTCACATCAGGGTTCCTGCACCCTGTGACTACTACCTTATATAGCAAAAGGGGCTGCACAATGTGAGTGAGCTAAGGATCCTGGGATGGGGACATGATTCTGGGTCACCCTGTTGGGCCCTGCATGATATCACAGGTGCCCTTATGACAGAGGAAGAGGGAGATGTGACACAAAGAGTAGGCAGATGCAATTATGGAAGCAAGAGGCTGGCAGGGTTCAAAGGGCAGAGACAAGGCTCCCCAGAGCCAAGGCAGTGGCTCTGCCCTGGAGCTTCCGGAAGACCCATCCCTGTAGACACCTTGACTTCAGCCTGCTGACACTGGTCTCTGGGAATGTGGGGTCTGCACTTCCCCACACACTTCTGAAGAGGGTAGCAAAGTGGGGATAGACACCAACGGCGTGGAGCTGACCAGAAAGGGTGGAATCTGGAATTTGGCTTAGCAAGGCCTACCGAACACCCTGGATGCTCAGCAGAAAAAGGACAGGTCTCCAAGAGCAACTGAGACAAGAAGCAGCACAAACTTTGTAGCAGGCTATTAAATTATGCTGCTTGCTGCTGTAGCGTGGGCAGGTGGCTTAATCTCCGAAAGCCTTGGTTTCGTCATTGCAAGATAGCGATAGTATTATCATCTACTGTGGAAAGCTTTTAGGATTAAATGAGATAATGCGTGAAAAGCACCTGGAGCATGGTGGATGCCAAGTAAGTGATAACTCTTAGGAAGATTAGGCCTACAGATAAGGACGACGGGCACTGTTTGTCGCTTACCCCAATATCTATCCACTTAGTTACAAAACTCTGATTTTTGGCTGGCATGATGCAGTTCCAAGTAAAAAGACTGCATTTCTCAGCCTCTCAGGAAGGTAGGTATGGCCATGTAATTAAGATTTAGTCAATGAGTTGTGAACAGAACAACTATAGTAATTCTGGGGAGGTCGCCATAAAGTGCTGGAAAGAGCCTGAGTTTTACCTGTCGTCTGTCTTTATGGTTTCTATTTTCAAAAAGGACATGATGGCTGGTGCTCCAGCAGCCACTCTGGTCTACAAGAGACATGTAAGATGGAAGCCATGTACTAAGATGGTCTAACAAGCAGATGGAATCCTGAATCCCTGGTCACTCCAGTGCTGCAACTCTAGTTTGGGGCGGCCTTCCTCTGGATTTCAGTTATGTAAGGCAGAAGGTTCTTCTGTCATCAGTTAGTCCTTGTTGTTTTACAGTTTTCTAGAAATGATAAGGAATGCATTACAGATCCAGGCAAGCGGGAAGCAGAGTTCACCTGGAGCAAAGGCACTAAAAGTACAGCCCTAGACCAACAGGGTGCATGGGACGTCCAGGTGCACATGAGCGTGAGAACCGCCAGGCACATGAGGATCTGGGTGCCCCTTGGTTGTGAGGGCTTGTCCTGTGCATGCAGGACACTCAGTAGCGTCCTGGGGTACCCACTAGCAACCTCCACTCCCTCGGTGAGGAATTCAAAGGTCTCAGACATTGCCACGGATCCAACGTCAGGAGAGAGGGCTGCAAACTGCTGACGGGTGAGAAACTCTGCCCCAGAGTCACGGTCCCTTCCTGACCTTGGCTGTACACCAGCTCCACCTGGGAAGCTTTTCCAAATTCCAGAGCCCAGCCTCGCCCCAGCCCAGTGAAATCAGTGTCCGTGAGGGCAGGGCCGAGGCAGCACCAGAAACTGGCCAGGTGAGTCCCGCAGCGGCCAAGGGGAGGCCAGCAGCCCGGAGGAGAAACCGCGCCAAGCTGCACAGAGGTCTCCAGCCCTCCCGGTGAGGAGAGCCCGAGCAGCTCCCAAGCAGAACCTGCACCCAGAGTGCCTGGGATAGACTGGGAACCCACAGCCAGCAGCCAGGGGCAGAATTCCTGGCAGCTGGGTCACCTCAGTTCCCATAAGAACAGGGTGGACACCTTTCAGTCTCTCACCTGAAGAACCGCACACAGCCTCAGTTTCCTCCCCTAATAAACAGAACACACAATGAGCCATAAACATGACCTCACCCCACAGAAAGCACGGACTTAGGAAGGATAGTGATGGGGCACTGGAGGCCGCTGCCAGGCAAGGGGTGCAGTCTCTCAGGGCTACACCTGCAGGCAAGGAACCAGCCTGCAAGCAGAGGCCTCACGGGTATTCAATGGATCCCTGAAAATATTTTTGGTCACAGGCCTACAGCAGATCTGGAAGGGAGAATGGGAAGAGTTAAACGAGAAACCAGCAACCAAGAGGGAGGGAGGGAGGAGGGCTCAATGAACTGATGTTCTGACCCCTTAAAGAAAAATGAAGTCCCGGGTCAGGTCTTCTCCCTGCAGGGACTTTTACGTTCATTATTTCGTCCCAGTCTCCCCAGCTAAAATGCTGAGCCATGCTTTTCCTTGTTTCCCTTGGCCCAAATCATTAAGTCCGGGATGTCTAAAGGAGGAGGAAAGGGGAAGCAGAGAAAGGAGAGGAGAAGGAGAGAAAGAGAAAGTGAGAAGGGTCAAGAGGAAGAGGAGGAAGAAGAGGAAGAAAAAGAAAAGGAGGAGGAGAAAGAAGAGGAGGAAGAGAAGGAAGCGAAAGAGGAGAAAGAAGAGGAGAAAGAAGAGGAGGAGGAAGAGAAGGAAGAGGAGAGAGAAGAGGAGGAGGAGGCAGAAGCCATGGCAGCTAACAGACTCTGGTGATCTTAAATTGATCACCAACTCGCATGCAGGAGCACGGCAAAATGGCTTCCTTCCCCTACCTAGTTCAACCCCATCCGTGTAGCCTAGATGGAAAGACAAGGGAACAGACGTGAGTCTATAAAGCTCCCAGCACGTCTCTCAGAGTCGGTAGTGCGACAGTGCAACGGCACATGCCTACACATTCTAGCCTTTCCTATGGTTCTGCTTTCCATTCCATGGGTCCGTTGAGTGCAAGTGACTGGAACAAGGAAGGAGAACCCAGCTGCTCCATTCCAGTAGCACGAGGGAGGTAAGGAGCCCAGTTCCCAGGCAGGGCACTCTCTGTTCCTAAGGACTCTAGTGGGTTCTGGTTTGTAGCAAGAGAGCCCTAAGAATCGACAACTTGGCAGCCAGCAGTGGCTTCTTCAATGCTCCCACCTTCCTTTCTCTATCCTGTGCCCCCTTCCCAGGGTTCTCTCCAGCCCGTAAACCTTGTGTGCAAATGTCCTGACTCTTGCAACTGTGTTAAAAAATAAACCTTAAAAAGCTTCCAGATGTTCTGTTTGTATTGTTGTGTTTTTCTGCTCTGGTCTCCAGAGCCCAATACACGATGTACAGGATTCTGACAGCTCAGAAAAAATTCTGAGGCAGCCAAGAGGCACAGCGTGGGGGCGAGCAGGGAGAAGACCCTTCCCCAGGAGTAGAACTCAGTCACCCATTAACTCTTCCACTGCAGGGGTGCCCCACATGCACGCCCTTTGTTTTCCCACAGCACCCCACATCCTGTTCCTCCCCCGTCACAGGTGAAAGGCACATTCTTGCAGTTCGTTTAAAGGCCTGCAGAAGACTGCAACAGACTGCAGCAGAGGAAGTCTGAGATTTCCAAAGCTTTAGGTTTTGCCTTTTCTGAGCACCACCTCGGCCCGTCCATTGAACTTCTCACTTCAACTGTTTTTGGGGACAGAGAGTCCGGGACAAAATGACACAGGAGTTGCTCTCATACTCAAGATGTTAAGTGACCATCTGCAAGAACATCTCAGGAGTGGGACCAACCAGAACAAGGGAGTGGAGTTCAGGGCTTGTCAAGGCCCCTCTGGGGCCGGTGGCCTCTGATCTGTAGGAGGGTAATTGCCAACGGGCGGGCTTGTGCACACATAGCCACACACGCACCCTTCCCAACACGCACACACCCCAGGGCCCAGGATTCTTTGCACAAGGTGACGCCTGCTCCCTTTGATGCCCGCCGGATGTGTTCCCATTGGGCAAGAACCAGACCTCAATAAATCCAGCATTATCAAGAGGCCGGTGGTTTGCGATTGCACCAGCCTGTTATCTCTGGCCCTGGGTGGGGCTGCTTCGTGGTTCACCATTGAAAAGCATTAACTTATAGGTAGATCAAAGACCCTTCCGCGCCAGCCGACCTGGGTCCCTTGTGTATCCCCCATGGACTGTTCCTGAAGATGGACTTTAAAGATAATAGGTCCCCCAGTCCCAACTCTCTTGTGTCCTCTCCTTATCATACAATATGTTCCTTGGGGGCCACTCCACAGCCAATCACCAGGCCTTTCTTGTCCCTCTCTTTGGATGGCCCATCTAACAACAGTACATGGGAGACTGGGCCATGCAGGCACTCCTGTCCCCTCTGGATCACAACAAGGAGGAGGTTCTGGAGTGGAGGTCATTTATTACACTCTGTCCTCAGAAGGAAGAGACTGCCAGGTTCCCCTTACCTGGCACCAGAAGGCCCCAATAGACTCCACTGTCTACACGGATGTTTGAGGCCAGCAACCAGTCTGCAGTGAGGTCACAGTGGACTTCTGAGTTGTGGGTTACCAAGGAGGACTACTCATTGGCCAGGGAGAGAGTTCAGACTTCCAACAGGGCTGCTTGCAGGCTTCTCGCCTCCCAAGAGTCCCTCAGCCCATGGAGCAGGTTGGTCAGTGGCCAGGCACATGGGGACAGGTGTGTTTTCTTTTTCGTCTTAACAGTACCAAGCTTACTGTCTGTACTGGAGAGGCACAGGGTTGGTTGGATGGATGGATGGAGGGAGGGAGGGATGGATGGACAAATGAACCAAAGAGTGAATGAACAAGTAGATCACTAGCAATAAAGCAAGTTATTATATAATTATGGGAGACAGAAAGGGCGGGGACACTCATTCCCTACCAGCAGGAAAACAGTCCAGGTGGCAAAGCTCACCTGAGACACCTGAGCTTAATACCATGCAGTCAAACCAGAGTTCAAGTCCTGCATCAGCTTCTTGTATATTGAAGGATCCTAGACAAGCTACTTCAGTTCTCTTTAACCCATCCATAAAGCAGGAAAATCCTAGTGTCTAGTAAGGACTCGGTGAAACCCTAAAAAGTGCTGTTATTCCTGACCACTCCCTTCCCTACAGCACTCTCTCTCTCTTCAAAGTTGAAATAGCACATTCCCAGCAAAGAAAGAGCCACTTCTCTGATTATTTTTCTGCCACAGACCATGCCTGCAAGGTGTATAAAGAAGTCTCGATCTATCTTCCATTACTCCTTTTTAACATTTGGATCAACCATTATCTACTGCCCCTCCTTTCATACTCCTTCAATCACTCCTAAAAACCCTGAGAACCCGGGCCCACACACAGGGAGGAGGTAATGAAGCCAAGAGTTGTGACCAGGGAGGAGTTCCCACTGTGAGTGAGCAGCAGCTCAGCCACTGACTAGAGCTTTATTCCAAAGAGTATTACCTAATACTGAAATGCACAGGCCCCCCCCCACCCCAACACACACACACACACACACACGCACACTCCAACTTTCTGCAGCTCTGGGGATGAAGCCAGGGCCTGCACAGGCTAAGAAAGCACTCCATTACCAAGCCACACCTCAGCCTGATGTCTACCTCTTACACTTGTCTGCCTTACACTTCTGTCCTTCTAATTGGGGTCCTCTTGTCCTTGAGCCCTGGTCTGTCTGTCTCCAACTCACTCCTCCCAAAGACACAGCAGCCTACAGAGCCAGCATGGCCAACCCCACTGGAAACAGGGCCTATGGGCACTGTTCTGGCCTGCATGGTCCAGAGCCCCATGGCCTGGCCAGCTTGTGGCTCCTGTGCCAGGATGATGAGTGGAGGAGCTGGATCTCAGTGTGCTCCATCGCAAAGGAGCCAGGCTGTTACCCAAGGCTGCAGCTGGGCCCTCACCGGCACTGGGAGGTCATGCAGTAAGCTCACAGAAGAGGCCACCCACACGGCACATCAGGAAGCTGGACCATCCCTGGGGCCAGAGCCGCACTAGCCCTTGGCCCTGACTCGGGAGAGTCACCATATGGCTTCCCTGGGGAACAGGAGAGGAGGGCAGGAAGTGAGCCATTGGAGGGTGAGAGAGCGCCATTTGTCCCTGGGGTGCAGGAGACACGGGTTAACCTGTCCCCAGCATGTCTGAGGAAAGAAAAGGACTGCCAGCCCACAGCGACATCCCCCAGACACACGGGGCTCCCCTTCTGGGCTCTCCTCTCTCTTCAGCCCAGATGCACTCCCAGGGTTTGATGTGAACTTCAAAACCCCTGAAGTTTGGGTGACTTCACACTTTTCCGATTAAAGACCCAGAATGATTTTCATGTTTTCAGAGAACTTTGACCAAAAGTGTAGGCAGTGGAGCAAAACAGGAAGAGAAGACCTCTCTCTGGCTCCCTCTCCCCTCCTCCTAAAGTCCTGGGGGCGGGGTGAACTCTAGGCAGCTTTGTCCTCTCAGTGCTCCTGGAACCTTCTCTTCTGTGGCAGCTTTTCTCTTTCCTTTAGTCCCACAGGTCCAGTCTCTGGGGCACAGGTGTCCGGGAGGGCAGCTGGAAGGCTCAGGGACAGACAGAGTGGAGGGGACAGTCGCCACGCAGCCTAAAGAACAGGGCCAGGCACCTCATCCGGGTGGAAGGCAGCCTTCCCAGGTGCCCGGCAAGCTGGGACTTGTGGAAACCAGAGTCCCGGCTAGCAGAGGGGATGGACAGGAGAACCAGAATTCAAAGAGGCGGCCGAAGGAGGGGGCATGGCAGGGAGAGGGGGAGGTTTCAGTGAATCATATAAATTAGAGACAGAAAGGATGTCAGGCCACCTTCATTTCCTTCCTCTCCTAATAGGAATTATCTCATTAGCCCTGAGCTTCCTAGAGGCAAACTTTAAATGATTCCTGTAATGGGGATTTCAATCTGTAGTTCCCTCCCTTCCTACCAGGCCTGACTCCCAGGAGAAAGCTCTTAAAGGGACAGTGTGCATTGAGGCTAGTTCAATGGGCTTAGCACTGCACATATTCATCTGCTCAGGTCCTGCCCTTCTACCCTGTAGGTCCACTGACAGGACTGCACAGGAGAACACAGCCATGGATATGGGGATGAGCTGAATGGGAACACATCCTTCTGTACGTTTTACCTTTGCAAAGGAAAAAAAAAATAAAAGAGCCACGTTCTGATCCTTTCAACCTATGAAAGTTTCCTTATATGGCAAAATGGATTTGGCAAATGGGATTAAATTAAAGATTCTGAGATGAGAGGATTATCCTGGATTATCCTAAGTATAATCACAAGTGTCCTTAGAAGAGGGAGGTAGAGGGAGATTTGACTACAGAGAGAGGAGGAAATGCAAAGGGCCCACAAAGGCAGAGGCTGAGATGATGTGGCTACAAGCCAAGGACTACTGGCAGCCACCAGAGCTGGGGACAATTAGTCCCTGCAGCTTCCAGGAGAAACCACCCCTGCCTGCAACTTGATTTAGGGCCCAGAGGTCTTATTTCAGACTTCTGGCCTCCAGAATTATAAGAGAAGAAATCTATGAGGTTTTAAGCCACCAAGTTTGCAGTAATTTGTTACAATCAGCCCCAGGAAACTAGTACGCTTAGGAAAGAAAAAGTGCTTGCCACAAGAATTATCTTTGGAGCCTTATTTCACAGCAAAAGAAAAATATATCAGAAACATCAAAGAACCGTCCAAAAATAACTGTGTCCTAGTCCCATGATGAAATCCCAAACAATCATAAAATATTGAACTATTAATAATAAAGGACTAACACTGTATAACAATACAGCTGTAAATATTTCTCTTGCTTTTATCGGTGGGCTAATGGAAGGCATCTTGTAATTACTTCTGCCCCTGCAAGTTATGTACTGAGTTGACAAGTGGTATGAAAGCTAAGTATGGTTGAATTTGTCTGTGTGAACTGAGAAGCTGGACCTGGAGAAATTCAGGGGACCGAGGACACCAGAGATGGCCTACAGCTCCAACCCACCCCAGTGTGTGTGTGTGTGTGTGTGTGTGTGTGTGTGTGTGTGTGTATTTCATATTCAACTGGAGTTACTAACATCAGAGTGGGTGCCTTTTGGAGCAATGAAATTCTCCATCATCAAAGTATTCTAACAGAAAGTAGCTACCTAGAAAGTCTTAGAGACTATCGTGGCTCCAGATGGGAGATGGAAATAACTGGCCAGAATCAGTTTGATTTGATGAAAGCAAGGATTATAGGTATAATCCCTGCAACCCTTGCAAATCACTTAGCACAGTGCTGGGACTGAAGAGATGCTTATGGTACCACTGAGGATGCTTCTTAAATCTCAACATCTCTCATTCCACAGACTCTTTGGGGTAAAAAAAGCCACGGAAAAGGAAATGCTAAGAATACTTGTATAGTGGGTGGCTGTTTACAGAGTACCACCTTGGTTTCCTGCGCTATCGGATAAAAATCTGACACTCCTAGACACCTCTCTCATTTGATGGCAAGCAGGTGACGCAGCAGCACACCAGGACAAATCCCATGGCAGGAGACACCTAAAGCAGCCCTGCATGAGTATTCAGACTGAGAAAGGGATGCAGCAGCATCACCACCTCTATCTGGGCAGGTGGAGGGTCCCTGGGAAGCCCTACGGCACAGCGTCCGGGCCCTGTTTCTGCACCTGCCAAACCAAACTGACAAAAAATAAGAGAGGACTTGAGGAGCCATCCCAGGCAGCAGCTAAGGGCAGGATGCCCATTCCCACTGGAGCCCAGATGGGGCACACCCACCTGGCAGGCAATGTACTAGCAGTGGGAGGCCTGGGGCACTCTTCAGCTACAGGTGGGCACCACTAAGGCCACCCTCGGGGGCATCCTCAACCTCAGGTCTTGCTTTGCTGCTAATCACTGTGAGCACCCAGCTGCCAAAACCCCAATCTGGGTGGCCCCGAGCCACTCCCAAGTCTTGTCACATGCTCAGTGAGCTCAGCTGGCCTCACACAAACCTTGTCAAGTGAGCAGGACAGATGTTGTTATCGGTCCCACTTTACAGATGGGGAAGCTGTGCCGGAGCTGAACGGCCACCCCGGAGCACATGTCCTCTCATGGCCCAGACCTCCTCCTCCTCCTCCTCCTCCTCCTCCTCCTGCATCGGGCAGGCAAGGGCCGGCTCCATACCCCTTGTGCTGCCTGAGAGGGCTTTGCAGAGGTGGCCAGAGACAGCAGGAGGTGTCCCTCCACCCGGGCCCAGTGCTTCCTTCCTTCGGGAGCCTGACTTGCTAGGATGCCCCTATCTGCAGGCATTCCTGCTCTTGCCCGGCAGCATGGAAGTGGAGAGCATGGCTCTGGTAGTGCAGGCCTGGCCCGTGCCCAGGCTGGGCCTCTCCCAAGAGCAGTGAGACATGTCTTTTGGGCTCTGAGAGGAGAAGCTGTACTTTTCCAGGTCTGGAGAAAGGATTACGCAGGGCCGATCTGAACTCCCAGCTCAGCTTTTGAGCGACAGCTTTCCCCACCGCCCTGGAGAGGTGCTCAGAGCAGGACCTCCTCAGTCTCTCTCCATCGTCTCCAGCAGCCCCAGGAGGTGGCCGGGTGATTCTGGAACAGTGAGCACTACCCTGTCTGGGGTGGAACATGAGTTAATGATCCTCAGCTTGGGTCCCCCTGGGAGGTGGCCAAGCCAGTTCCCTTTTGGTGGGGCCTCTGGACGGACCCATCGCTGGGGGTGGCATCTGCAGCTAATGGGGAGAGGATGCACAGCTTCACATATGACTGACTCCTGGAACACTCAACTGAGGCTGGATCCTTGGACCTGATTTTCCAACAGGACCTCCCCCCAAAAAGTGGTTGGGTTTCCCTCTCCCAGACCCATCTCACTTCTCTGCCCTCTGCTCCTTTCCCCTCTTCTCCTTCCCCTTCTGTATCCTCAGAGGCACCTGGGAGACACAGCACATGCTGGGTCATAAGGAGAAGAACCCTGATAACTTGGACGGACAGTCTGCAAGCCGTGAAAAGTCCAGCTGCCTCCAGCCCCACGGGCCAGCGCTCGGTTCCCATGACACTCACTGGCAGCGTTAATAACTAACCACGGCCCAGACAGGTGTTGGCAGCCGGGCCTCAGGAGTTCTTGTTCAGGGGTGGAAGTGAGTCATTTCCCTTTTATAGTTTGCTAGCAGACTGAGTCACCCAGAGCCGACCCTTTCACCCAAGCTCTCATACCCTGGCCACCTAACGTGTGGCCCATTCCTTAGACCTACCTACTTCCCAGGACAGCTGAGCTTTGTGCAGCCGCTGCTGGCGTCTGGGTCAAACACCATTTCCCATGAACGACCAGGTCTCTCTCTGCACTCCTTCTCGCCCTACTGCCTCAAACCCAACAGTCGACTCACTGTCCTAAGAGGAGGCTGCTTAGCTGTCTGAGAAAAACTGTGTCTGACAGGTAGAGGTGCACACTCCTGAGGCCTGGTTAGGTCTGCCTCGCCTTTGACCTTTAACCAAACAGTGCTCTCACGCCTCTCTACCCCGTCTGGAACAAAAGACTCGAAATGAAAAGTTCCAGAAAATCATGAGCCAGAGCACAAAACTGTGATGCATGTGTCAATTTCATTGTGCTTGGGAAGGACCGAGGCTGAAGGGAGGTAAACGGGTCCTGTGTCCGCAGTTAAAACACGCTTCCCTATTGCATGCCAGGTGGCTGGCAAGGCCTGGCAGCTCAGGGTCCTGTGGCGGCTCTCCTCTCCTGGACAGAAGTACCGATCAGCTACTAGGAGAAACTGAGGGGTCTTCTTGGGGAATCCCTTCCCCTGTGCTCATCTGGTCCTTCTCACAATTTTTTAATTGAAAAGAGTAAGAGAGAGAAAACAAAAACATGAAAGAAACGGGGTTAAAAAGGAAAACCATCTCCCCAAAATAGTTTGGGGATTTACTTTTTTCTAAGCCTCAGAAAGTCCCTCTCCACCGTGGTTTCTAACACAGACAACCAACACTCGTGACATCTGATCGGGCAGCACTGGTGTCTCCGGCAGGCGTGAGACTGACAGGCAGAGAGAAGATGACACTGTTTCTTGCCTCAGAAGGTAAAAAAGAAGTCACAGCAGAGGCTGCACGGGGTATGGCCAGGAACCTGACACCCCACAGCGCTGGCCTTTCGGGTGAACTCCTGGCTGCTGGCTATTCAGGACTGAGCTTCCCTCTCCCCGCCCTTCTGACTTCCCCAGCTTCCAGGTGTCACAGCCTAGTTTACCTCTGCACTGTCTCACTTCTACATGGCCCCCCAGACTTCCCAAACTGCACTGTGAAATCTGTCTGCTGCAGCCATGGCTTTGGCTGCCCTTCCCAGGTGAGGCGACATTCCCGGGTCTTGTGTACATCTAAGACACCAGCCAGCAGAGAGCATCAGGGTCCACATGCTGGAGGGAGAGATTCCGCCCTGGGTGCTGGCATGGGGGACTGCATGAGTCATCAGGCCTGACCAGTAAGCATGCTGTCCCAGGGTGCAGTGGGAGGCCTGGGGACTGAGCCCACTCCAGGGACACGAACCAAGGTGACTCACAGTTGGACCCTGAGGGGAAGTTCCATTCTCGAGTCCTCTGGATGGCTCTGGTCCCTGGGTGAGCTCATCCTCGTCACTGCTGACACTCAGATCGGGACTTGATTCTTGTTCCCAGAGTCCCTGGAACAATTTCACTATTAATTATGGTGGTGGCAGAGATGGTCATTGGAGCCACAGCACCTCTGTCCCCAGCACACACATGCGTGATTGGATGGAGCTGAGGACACAGCATGTCCTCCCTGGACGTCCAACTTTTCCTCAGTGGACACACTCCTCCCTGCTGCTGACCTCATGCAGGAATCCTGGGGGCTGTGAGGCCGTGAATGTGACAGTTCTTTGAAAGGAAGTTTGCAAAGCCAGAACCAGTGAGTAATACTGAGATTACTGTTTCGGACTGCTGCCTCAGGGTCCAGCCAGCAGGCTCCCATCTTGCTCCCTCTCCCTGGACCCCTGGCGTGTGGGGCCCAGGTGGGAAAGGGTCCCCATCAAAGTCTTCCAAAAACACACTTGACATTAGCAGAAACACATAGGTCATGACTTCACTGCTCACACTGCCCCTTCCTCACTCCAAGCAGAGCACACAGATGTTTCTATAGCTTCTCCAGGCAGAGGCAGGTTCTCACCTAGCTCTTCTGTGGTACACAGGAGCTTTGAAGAAATCTCCCAAAGAAGGACACTAGGCAGTCATCCCCCTTTGGGCTCAGTTGTCAGGTCACACACAATCACAAGACACTGGCTAACAACCACCATGACCGAGACCTTGTGCACACCTTCTGAGAAAGACAAGCTGCTTCAGATAAGTGCTCCAAGGCACTTGTGCCTGCCCATCCTTGATGGCCACAGTGGTCACAGGATGGAGGACGAGAGAAAATGATGGCAGATCCCATTCATTTTTGCAATTGGAGGTGAAGAGGAAGATGAGAAGAAACCATGAGGCTGCAAAAAGGCAAGGAGAGCTGCAAAGCGGTTGGAGAGGGACCCCACAGGAGGGTCTGCAGCAGTGCGAACTGTGCTGTGACCTGATGACGCCACAGTCAGGAGTCCCTTGAGTCTGGCAGGCTCCTTCCCTGCCCTAACACAACTGGAATGAGAGAATGCTCCTGTGCTCCCACTTCCTTTACTTTTCCTTTCCATCCTTTGCTGCTGGGCCTGCAATGTGCCCCTGCTGGCTTTACAGGTGGGGAGATGGGGAGAGGCCCTCCTATGAAGCCATGATGCCACAGAAGATTGTGTGGATTGCCTGAATGAGGGAGTCATGGCTGCTGAGAATCAGTGCCTGTGATTTTCAGCTCCTCACAGAATCACTGTCAATCTGCTCTCAGAGGTACGTGATGGGACAGGAAAGATAAGGGCACGTTCAGTTCCCTTCCTGTCTGCAAACCCTCCCACCAAGTGCTCAGTTCCTGTGGGGTTCCACAGCAGCCCCTTCCGTAAGTTGGTTCATAACACACTTTACTCAAAACCCTGCCTCGGCTCCCAGGTCCCTTGGAGCCAGGACTGGAAGTCTTGAGGACCCTGCCTGGTGTGGCCCTCATGCCCTGGGGTGCTCAGCCCCCTCACTGAGCTCCTATCATGCCTGCCCTTTGTTCTCAAACCCACCTCACAGCTTATGTGCTCCTGCTCTGTGTCTGATGCCACCACTCCCTCTGATCCAAACACTCCTCCCTAAACACTGGAGCACTCCCTCCCTCTCCTCTCTGGAGTCATCTGCTCGGTCCCACTGGCCACCTGTGCTCTGCTTTCTCCCTGCCCAGCAAAACCTGAGCCACTTTTCCTGCCGCTATTTTTATTTTTTCCCCATGATATTATTACCTTCTTATGTACTAGGTAATTTACTTGTTTATCACTGTCTGTTTATTGCCTGTCCTTACCCCTCTAGAAGGCAAGTTCTATGAAAGTAGAACCATACCTGCTTTGTTCATGTCTCAGTCTAGGGTAGTCCTAGCAATGACAGGCACCCAGTATTTGTTAGATGAATGAAAGAATGAAATGAATAAATGAGTGAAACAATGAATGGAATCACCCAGGTGGGAGGAAGGGGCTGCATCATACAGAGTGGCTTGGCACTGGGTAGAGGACACCTGGGGGAAAAGGGAGGCCTAGGGCTGGCAAAGGCAGAAGGTGCTACAGTCAGAGGCAGTGCATATGGCTTGCCTGGAAATGCCCTCGGAGTCACTCATTAACCATCCCGACTCCAGTACACATGCAGCTCACCAGTCACCAAGCCCAGGCAGAATGACTTCAATGCCTGGCACTCCATGCAGGCCCACACTCCCACCCGAGTGTTCAGACTTTGTCTGGGCCCCTCATCTTTGCTCTTGGGATCCTAGGGTTAGCAGAGAAAAGGGGATACCCAAGGTTGGAAAAGAGATACCCAAGAAACAGAAATGAGCTCCCCATTCCCACCCTTTTGAGCCACAAGCAGGGAGGCAGACCTAGTATTGCAGATGATGTCTTCTACAAGAGATTATGGAGTGGCCTGGTGAAGGAGCAGCTAGTCATGGGACCTCATGGCTATGAGGTTTTAGGAAAGTGAGGAGAGAGTGTGGTCAGCACAGGCCAGGGCGCAGAGTCCAGTCTTAGGGGCAGGACACACACTGGGAAGAAATGGATCCAAGGTGAGTTGTCCAAGAAGATCTGGTCACTGGTATGATCAACAGGGAGACGTGGTCAGTGTCTTAACTCATCAGAAGGTGACATGTTGAGTACTGGGTTAAAGAAAGAGGTGTAAGGAAAACACCAATAGAATCACTTAGGAGAGGAAAGGCTGGAAATCCAAAGGTTGGAGCCCCTATGGTTAAGCCAGCGGGTTCTTCAAAAGTCAAGACAGAAGGGTGGCCGGGAAAGGGGAAAATATCCAATGGAAAACTGCTGTGGAGCAACTATAAGGACTCAGTGTGCTGGTGAATAGGGAGTTAGGGACCCTAGTCATCTCTTGTGAAAGATCCACATGGAATAAGATACATCTGAACCAGATCTTCACTCTGTGTTATTTTCTTCAACATCTGGTCTCCCTAAGGACAGGGAATAAGCATTACCTTCTTATAGATGAGGAAACTAAGACCTGGAAATTTACCCACTATCATATCCAGAACTCCCAAGACTGAATATAAAACCAAACAGAAAGTACACTGACATTTATGCTTCATGTGTCCCAGTACTGGGCAAGGCACTCGGTGTGCATGCTCCATTTCACTTCACAATTCAGAAGAGACTATCCTTATCATCCCCATTTTGCAGATGGGAAACCAAAGTCCATGAAGAGAAGGTCGTCAGCCCATCGTCACAACGTGAGAAAGTAATAGGAGGTGGATGTGAAGCCAGGCCATCTGGGTCCCTGCTCCTTACCACTGCACTAGACAAGACAGTGACCAACTCACAACACAATCTGCCTGGTTGCGAATCTCTGCACAGCACCCTCCTTCTAAACTCCACGGGAGAAACAGAAACAATCTGTTGTCTCCCATAAAACACACCTACATTCTGAGCTTCCAGCCAGCATGAAACTCACAGCCAGAATCAGAGCCACTGTGGATGGAGACGTCTAGAAAACTATGGGCAAATCCAGCCTTATGTGAAAGGAAGGGGTGTCTGCTTCACACGCTGCACTGTCAGGACCAGACTTCAGTCAGCAGCACCCGGAAATGTGTAGGAGCCCACTTAATCCTACGGCCAATCTGTGCCCTGGAAAGCCAGCAGGTCGATCCACCTGTCCCCTACACCCACAGGCTGTGAGTCACCTGCCTGAAGGTTCTTCCTGCACACTGTCTGAAAGACCTGTGTGTCCTGCAATGGACTCCATGTCTGCAGTGCAGGTAGCAGGAGCGGACACAGAACCTGCTGAGAAGCTGGGACAACTCACTATCACTCAAAACAGCAACAGGCCACGGTCATGGTTCAGAGCTGGCTTTCAATCCCAGCTCCTCTGCAAATTACCTGTGCAACACTGGACGAATGACTGTACCTTGATTTTCTCATCTGGAGGCTGGGCATCAGGTAACTCACGGCTAGAGCTGTGAGGGGCCAAATGAGTTAACCAAATCACAGCCATGGAACGCAGCCTGGCCAGAGTTAATAAATACTGGATGTACTTATAAGCCTGGGCCCCTGAACCTCTTCTGCTCGCTACCTGCAAGGTGCCTGCTGACAACCGCATGCTGGGCTGGCATGAAGGTGTATTAGGGATGTGTATATAAAGGGATAGGCAAAGACACAAAACCCCCAAAGCTAAAAGCACTGCAAGGGTGTAACTGCTGTGACAGCTGTGTGCGACTCACCTTGCTTCTCGTCCTTCCTTCATGGGTACGAACAACCACCAAGCCAACTGGAAACCTCTGATTTCACCTGAAAAGCATAACAAGAGGGTCACATCAGGAAAGAGTGTAATAATGCAACTCATTTTTAGGCTTAACATATGGAGGGCATAGCTTCTGAATATCAGCTTCTTATCCTCAGAGACATGAGAGTTCAATAGATGCTTATGTCTCAATATAGAATAAAACCACATTAACTTAAACAATCAGAACAAAGGGAGAAATCCATTTCTTATGTCAACTGCAGATGTGGCAAATCAAAGAATACTTTCCAAGAAATACATTTTTTAAAGATAATAAATTAGACCTGGAAAATGAACCAAGAGGCAAATGGATATTCCACTGGGTAGTAATTCTTTTCAAGTTATAATGAAGCTCAAATTCACCATGGAACTTGACCATGAAATGATCTACTGCTAAGCAATGAGTTGTTCTATTTTCATTGGGCATTTTGTGCAAAGACTCCTGCAATACTACTGTTGTATGTTCTGACCTTACTGTGTATCAGAATTCATTAAGCAGGATAATGTGTCAGGAGCATCTAGCTCCATGACTGGCCTCTATCATGTTTTCAATAAATATCAGCTATACTATTATTAATTGTACATTTCTTTGTGGGTTTCTAGAGCGCTGGGCTGTCTCAAATCATCCACATAATTTCCGAACAAATGTTCACTGATGTCACCAGGGTTGCTGTCATTGTTGCTGCTAAAATAGATATTTAATCTTTAAATCCGGCCCCTGTTCCATCTAATTCTGACACCAGGAAGAGTAGTATTTCAAAAGGCGGTTAAAGATAATAGCCCCTTTGTCAACTTCCCCATCATTAGGCTCAAAGAAATCACTCTAGACCCTCAGGTTGGCAAATGCAAACAGAGAGAAGAAAGGAAAGGGGGAAAAAGAACACCATCAGATTTGAAACAGAAAACGTGTAACCTTCACACACAAGAGAAAGGATTGTTTGGGTGGTGTTTTGTCTTCCCTGCCTGAGCATCACACATCATCACTCCGGTGGTTTCTGAGTTCCTGAGGACAGGGCCAGGCTGGTCCTCTGCTGCCAACTCCATCAGCCACGCCTGTCACCGGATCAGATGGCGGAGAGGGGACCTCCCCTGTTGGATTACAATGCAGGTCACAGCCACTCGTTTGCTGCAACTGCCTCCTGCTACCAAAGCCACGAACTTGTTCCCAGACCAACCTCGAATGCAGCAGACTCCTGATCACGGGTATGGGATTTGGAATTTGCCATCTTAGCCCAGATGAATGGTGCACCCTTTGGGGCCTATAGGCTGACAGGCAGATGCTGAACAACTTGTTAACAGGGACCAAGCAAAACTACACTGTTCACCTCCAGTCCCACAGCCTATGATAGATCTGCATTCCTGCTTTATGCAAAGACATCTCTGTGCCCAACCCATTTTGTTTATTATTTGATAGAAAGCACCTGATAAACTTATTTAAACTAAAGCCCAGAAGAATGAAAACAGTTTCAGCATTACCCTTCCAGGGAAAATCTGCAGCTTAATGTCAGTCAGTCTAACTCCTCACCCACCTCACTCACAGCCATGAAGTTTCAATTTAGCCAACCTAGTGGCAGATGCTGGGAGAGGGCAGTTGAGACTTAATCCAGGTGGTGGGCATTCTCCCAGGCAGGGGAAGAAGGGTCCCTGGCATCACCAGCCCTCCCTTGGACAGCTGTAAAATGATATCGAAGACTGCTCCCACCCCAGAGGTTCTGATTGTATATGGTGAGGCTGGCTAGGGGGTGCTCTTTAACCACCCCCACCCTCCCAGTAAGTCTGAGGATCCTCCAGGGATGTTGCTCCAATGTGCATTAGGAGGGGGTCGGGGTGCTGGCCTGAGATTCTACTTAACATGCTCCTGGACAAACTCCAGGCTATGGGGTCCTTAGAACACACTCTACCCAAGCCTGGCCTTAGTGGTACCCTCTTAATCCTCCCAGGCCCCTGGGGAACCTTGGGCAAGCTGGTATCTTCCCTCTCCCTCCACAGCTTCTCTGCTGGGATAGACACACTCCTCCTCCAGGAGGTCCCAGAGATGCGTCCAGCTGGCTGCGGAATATCAGATGGGGTGGGGACATTGCTCACAGCCCAAGAGACAGTGGGCCCTAGCCGGCTGTATACAAGTTCAAGGCAATCAGACTCAGGTCTGAAATGCCCCTCTGAAGGACTCCACGCTAAACAAAATGTTTGCTTGGGCTTTGTTAAATCTGCAGGGTGTCTTTCCCCTTGGCTTTCTGCATTGCCATGGCAACCAGGAGCTCCCAGGGATCCTGGCTGCCCATGGGCCCTAACTCTTCCCCTGGCACACTGGCTGGCCTCTGTCCTCAGGAGCCCTGCCCACTGTGCTACACGGATCTCCCCACCAGATAAGCGATGTTCTTCCATACTTACTGGGAAATGGGCTGCACCATCGAGGCCAGAGCTTGCAGCTGGGCCGCCTACAGCCTGCCCCCAAGTCCCACCACCCCCACCCCTATCAGATCCTTCCTGACACCCCTGAGGGCAGATACCTGAGCCCTAAGGGGACCCCAGCCTGGTAAGGATGACATCCACAAAGATTCCTTCACCCAAGACAGAAGGACCTGACACAAAAGACTTCCAGGTGAAACACAGAAAATATTAGCCTAGACTAAGGCTATTCCCACGGACCTCCTCCTGTCTTCTCCAAAAAGTCCGCCGGGGTCAGAAGGCCCCATGTGGAGGAGATCAGGGTGGAAAAGGACAAATACTTGGATGGTCTATGGGCCTCAACTCTTTAGAGGAATCCTTACAGAGAACCCTGTTTTTGGCCAGAACAAGGCTTGGAGTTTGCGGGAATTCTTGGACCTTATGAAGAGCTCCAAAACCAGAGAGAAGCAACTTCTAGAAGTCACTTCTCTAGGAGCCCAGGGAGCTGGGCAGCTATCGGGGGTTGCAAGGCTGGGTCCCTTTTCTATGAACCTACTGAAGGCCAGCATGTCCAGTGGCCACTGATATAATGAGGGGTCCATAGCAGTGATCTCATTAATAAGAACAAGTGTCTACAACATTAAAGTCTTGACAATAATGAATCCAGCCCGGACTCTGTCGTCCTTATACCACTGCAGTCATACATGTAATTTTTCTTTAATGGAAAAAGGGACCTGTGCAGACAGAAGGGCCTAAGGTCATGAACATCATACTTTGGCTTTGATGGTGACTACTTCCTCCCAGTCTCCACATTTGGTAGTTTTTACTGAGACCCTTTGTTGAATGTTTCATTGCTGTCACTGCAGATCTTTCTAGAAGACTCCCACCACAGCTAAGGAACCAGCTCCCCACTGCAGGCCGGGTCACCTGAGGCCCCTGGTACCCCGGGGTGTTTCTGACCAGCCAGAGGCCCCGAAGCCATCACCCCCGCCTGCCCATGTAGGAGAAGAGCAGTCTGGCAGGAGGTGCATCAGTGCTGTAGCCCAAACACACACACTCAGTCCTGCAGCCTAAACACCCAGCATACATCACACCCAGGCCTATAAAAGATAATTATGCAATCTGATCTGGCAAATTAGTGCCGCAGAACTGTCTGATTCTCACAATGAATTCGAGGGTTGGATCGGCAGGGAAAATTAACCTGAATCTTTATGGGGATTTGCCCCCAGGTCCGGATTAGGGTTCATTTATCTCTTTTATTTTCCTGCTGAGGGAGGGTGGAAAGGATTCTCTCCTGTCCACCCCTCCCCATCCCATCCAGGCTTGGCTTTTAGACAAGCCAGCTGCCTGGGGACCTTTCCCACGCATTATGGACTCCAGCTCAAATCATACAGCACCAGCTAGAAGGAAGGGAGGGAGGGAGGGAGAGACAGACAGACAGACAGATAGATGATAGATGGATAATTTTTCACAAGAAAGAAAAGTTCAGGCAACCCAAATCAAGGAATTCAGTCAACACTAACTCAACACAAGGTAAAATGAACTGACATTCCCAGGAGACAACTTATCTCCTAATGATTCTGGCCTAACACTGAAATGTTTATTTGGTGAACACTCATGTACACATTTCTCTAACCCCTCCCCCTCCGCCTCCCTCCCTTTCCCCCTCCCCCTCTCTTATTCCCCTCTATCTCTTCCAAGGACTCTTTCCAGAGATGGTCGCTAAAAGGAGTTGGTGCCTATCTCCTTAGCTCACTAAATAGCAGAATCAGCAATGCATGGTGGTACACATCGGTAATCCCAGCACTACGGAGGCTGAGAGAGGAAGACTGTGTGTAGGTTTGAGGCCACCATGGGTTACATGTTGCATTCAAGGCTAACCTGGACTACACAGCAAGATCCTATCACAAACAAACAAACAAACAAAAAAGGTAAAATAAACAATAGATGGGCATGGGAGTGCATGTCTGTAATCCCAGAACTCTGGGAGCCTAAGGCAAGAGGGTCACAGTTCAATCCCAGCCTAGGTAACTTAGCAAGACCTCATCTCAAAATAAAAAACAGGAAAAGGGCTGGGGATGTAGCTCAGCACGAAGTCCCTAGGTTCAACCCCTAGCAAGAATCAATCAATCAAATAAAACAAAACGGCTGGATCACTAAGGAAGTGCTACCACCAGGCCAGTGCCAAGGCCAGTGTACACCAAGCAAGGGTTATCCTTCATCTAAGAGAAACAGACATTATGGCAGGCCTTCGAAGCTCTGTTTTTGGTACCTTTCTGGGTGTTCCCCTTGGGGACCATAACACTCTATTCCAACTCCTAAGTCAGCCCCACAATGACCACATACCCGGGGCTTGAAAGACAAAGCACTAGACAATGTAGAGGTGTTCAGCATTCACGCCTTCTTAGCCTAAGAGAATGCAGGTCTGTCGGAGAAACAGTCATGCTGCACACAGAGACTGAGACAACTTCCCCTGTACTTACTGCCTGCATGGCCTGCCCATGAAATGATTCAAATGTGCCTCTCTATCAGACCAACCCGGCTCAGAGAATATGTTCTTGTTTTCAAGAATATATGGCAGGAAGAGGGGGGCAGCCCACAGCATTTTCATCTTTAAAAT